AGCTTTCGTTTGAGCCCTGTCTCGTTGACCAACTTGGGTGTACTAGTCTACTTATGCACCGGACTAATAGTCCAATATCCTTGATTTTAGCACATGAAACTGGAAAATTGGCAACGCTGTACAGCCTAAACCAGGGGTCACTTCAAGTTGAAACTTTGCATGGAAGTATGCCTTACCATAGGCTTTCATTTGAGCACTGTCCGGTTGACCAACTCGGGTATAAAAAAAAAGGGGCGGAACTTGGCGAGGCTCTTTCTTCCATGTAAGGCCGCCATCTCGAAAAAGGCGGGCTGGGGGGTCAAAATACGCCCCCGGAGGCCGGGATTTCGCTTGTATGTCAAAAACAATCAATCCTAAGGGAAATGTCATTGAACTTTTTATAAAAAGCACATTTCCTATGAGGAACGTTGCACATTTATTAATTCGTGACTTCCAGTTTATGAGATATCGCAGTGGTGAGACTAGGAAAATCGAATTTTGCTTGAAATCGCGATTTTCCCACGAAATCTGCGATCATCTTAAAACGGCGAGTCTAAAGGGAGAATTGTTCTTACTTTGATATCGAAGAGCGTAAAATTTCCAATCGAATATTACCTATTATTTTATTACCATTAACAGGTACGAACACAAACTCGTGTTCGTACCTGTTTTTAGCCTATTCCTCCTTAGAATTGTCCATTTTTTAAAAGAATGTAGCTGTGTTACATTCTCAGGTGAGAACTTGTTCACTTGTATCCGCAAATCTGCCCTTATTTCCTTTTTACACTCCTCAGTGCAATTCTTTACTGGCAGAATAAACGCTGTCTCTTTACGTCAAAATGTTCTTTCGAAGTCACGGGTGAAAATTTACTTGTATTAACTTCTGCTTCTTGTTTTCATTTAATTTTTGATAGACTCTGTATTCAAATATCTTTGTCTCCACTCTGCATGAACCGTTTCATCAATTTTACCCAGTCATTCTTTAAACGTATCCTCTCTTGTCTGTTTCTACGGTCTCTTTTAAATCGAATGCAGTATCATCGTTTCTAATATCGCCAAAAGTGCGGCAGCCGGTCGGCGCGGAACCCGTATGAGCGCCTACACGACTGCAGGAATACTTCACGCATTGCGCCAAACACAACGCGGTCGTTGGTCGGCGCGAACAGCACACTAACGCCTACAAGAGTGCAGGAATACTTCATGCATTGCACCAAACCCAGTGTGGTCGCTGGTCAGTGTAAAACGCTTATTGGCGATTCTACGGAAACTGTCCAATTTGACCTCCAAAAAACTAAAAATTCAACTTGATTATTTTAGATCGATGGTTTTGTTTCCTTGTCAAGAATAGTATCAGGCCTCAAAATGTAATACGGGTACTTTTTTATTAGAGATCCCCCCCCCTTCTTTTTACACACAAAATATCCTTTGCGGTGAGACGGTCGTTACATATTTAAAAAAAAAAACGGCGAGTATATTCATCAGCAGTGAAGCACAATCTCAAAAGTCGGTAAACTTGCAATTGGTAGTGAGGGCTATAAAGTAGGCACACAGATTTTTCAGAATATCACACGCTTCAAAAATAAAAAGCGTGATGGCGCTGATGGTCGTGAATCACAAAAAGGTTCAATGGAGTAAATTTGCCCTTTTAATCTTTTCAAAATCGTCTAAATCCCGGGATATACTGCTGTGCGATTATATTTTGTTGTTAACACTTCATCTTTCGGAATGAAACATTTTTTTAGCGATTTTGACTGCCCCTGGCGACCGTTTTGACGAACAAAAACACCTGTGACGGTTTTGACGTTGAATTTATTTTTCTACGATTGCCCATTTCAAAAAAACCCTGGTAAAAATTGGCAGTAGAATCTGTGTTCCAAAATACCATAGACCTACGGCTGGCTTTAAGATTTCCAACAGCTTCTATAGCCGGCTACACAATTTCTAATAGCCTTTTGTAGCCGATGGCGATTAAGCAACTCACAGCCAGGCGATAAAGTGTATGCTAAACGTCACTAATTACGGACGCTAGGACTTAGTGAGTTTTTGGACCGCTGCTCTCTTTTTGAGCCGTAGTATCTTGATTTATTTTGCGAGGAAAGCTCCGTACTTTTGATGGATGCCTGTCATTCCTAATATATTAGAGCACCTTCAGTTTCGTATGATACCGTGCAATACCTCTGGTGTGAAATAGTTGCTTCAAGCGCCGTGCCACGCTGCGGTGCGGCAGGCGGGCACTCCGGCAGCCAGCACGAAACGCGCATTGGCGCCTACAAACCTAACAGTGATACTTCACGCGTTGCGCAATGCGTGAAGTATCCCTGTTAGGTTTGTAGGCGCCAGTGCGTCGCCGCTCCGCTTTGTGTTAGGCTCTAATATTTAATCTGGCGGAGTCGGCGTTATTCAACTCATTATTTTGAAATGTTTGCACATCCTTTATGGATTATTCTCGTTTTAATTGATGAAAAAAAATATGTATTAAATGAAAATATAATGTGTGTTTTGCAAATATTAAGGTGGTTCCGTATCGGACTTAATGATTTCCAAAGCGTACGAATTTCTACAAGATTTCTTATAGCCTTTTATAATCGATGGCGAAAAAGCAACAGCCAGGCGATAAAGTGTAAAGCCCGGCTATAGGAACTATAGCCCGGCTGCATAATTTTTTATCGCTTATTCGTATAGCCCGGCCGTATTATTTTCTCCGCATTCTACAGCTTATATGCTTTTCTGTAGCCTTCTTTAGCCGGCTATAAGAATTCCTGTGGTATTTTGAAACGAAGCTCGAATCGCCAAATTTTACCAAGGAAATTATGAAAAATACTGCAACCTCAGCTCACTATGCACTATCTGACGAAGTTATTAAAAAAAATGTGCAAATATTCTTAATTGTTTGTTAAACACTTCTCCACGCTCTGATGTCATCTCCAACTCTTGGGAACAACCCCAGTAAGAACTGACTTTTGAGTTTTCATGCACTTATGCCCATTTTCCCCCGGACGGACGCAAATGAGTGTTGGATATTCAAAACATCTTAGGTACCATCAGATTTTGTTATGATTTTGTTTTTTTTTCACTCTTTGAGAATGTAGTGAGAATGTTGATACCCGAGTCATTCAGTACAACAAATTGTGATTTTTTGTACTAAATCTCTTGAGTCTATCTTTGCATACTTAATACTGTAATTTCGCATTTACGCGATCTAAAACTTTAAAAACTCACCACCCGCTCAGGAGACAAATTAATATAGAGACCTACAGGGATTAAAGTGTTAGGGCTCATCCCCTAAAATTGAGGTACTACCCCAATTTTTTGGACGAAATGGTCATTTCCATTTAATAAGGGTCGGACCACGACCCAAGTTGGGGGAGTACCGTAACATTTTGGTTAGTAGCTTAATTAATTGGGGCACTACCACAATTATGAGGTACTACCACGATTAATTGGAAATACCCGTTTCATCCAACAACCACTACATCCTTGTTTGTCGTGGACGCGATAAAACTATACAAATTTATTATCAAACAAAAATTTTAATAGGTGCATTGCGCAATGTGCAATATTGATTACGAGGTACAAATGATTCGGGTTAACAATGGAATGAATTATTTCTAGTCGAATGTAAAAATATATCTTCCACTACCTCCCTTTGATGTAAATGTAGCAGGCAATTAGTCAAAACAGGCATTTTATCAAATAACTGGGTGGATGGTCAAATTTCGACGATTTCATAAATTTTGTAAATTAATGGGGCAAAGCCCACAAGTTTGCAATATTTTGTGAAAAGTATTCATCAAAACTACGAACTCTTCTTGGTTCTCCCTCTTCAAGAATTTTTCATATATTTACATGTCAAATTTTGAAAATCCTGTATTTTATGATACAGTGAGAATGTCAAGATAAATATCCTCCCTTTTCTAATAAAATCATTTTGATGTTCGATGAACGGGGTGAGGAAAGAGAGGTAAACAGCCCAAAGGTCGAATTCCAAAGAAGGAATCAAAATTCAGAGCAAGGAGAAAGTCATGAAGAATATTGTTTGACGGGAAATTTGTATTTGAAACATCGTTTTTTTATTCAATTAAAATTATTTGCTCAACAATCGCCAACTGGCGATTCCGCTGGGCGCGAAGCGGCCTTTGGGGGCGCGCAGCGGCACGGAGGCAGAGACCCTTAGTTAATTCAAAAGCTAAAATTCGTATAAAATACTGTTGTATGATGCACATTTTTACAGAGAGTTCTTTCTCACGAGAGCAATGAATTATTTCGTCTAAAATATAGAAAAAGAATCAGAGTCTCAATCTAAGTAAGAATATTTGACTATTTGCTTGGGCATTTGACAAAATCCCTGAATTTCCTATTTGCCCGCGACATATCGACGGTGTAAGTCGGCAATCACGTAACTCGGTTTGCGACGTCGTAAACTTCCTGTCATACTTCATTTTCAAAACGGAAAACTACTCAACAGCAATTCTTCGAAACTGCTGTGATTTTTCTTCTCTGCGCGAAGAAAATTCTGCAAAATGAATGATGTCGATTTGTTCTCCTGTAAAAAAATAACATCGAGGCGGAGATTTTTAGATATGTTATTGCGGACTTACGCAGTCGATATACAGTCCTTCTATACAGAGGCACCTTAAGCCACTCGGAGAATTTCTTCCTGACTGGTCTATTTGCCTCCTGATCCTTAATGCGCACGGACTCAGGCTCAATACGGATCCTTTTCAAGTTGTCGGTTAAATATCGCCTACCTTTAGAATGGCTTTTGCCCCACTTTTTCTCAAACTTGCGGACTTCCAACGGTTCTGTCCCGAGCCAAGATTCCCGGAGTGTTTCCCAGCGCAAAATTTCCGGATTTCGATGGCGTTCAAGTCGCAGTGGCACTTCTCACCCTGGCGCGACAACCTGGCAAGAGTAAAATTGATTCGACGAGGGCTCTGATCCGTCTCTCTGCCATGAGCGATGCGCGTCTGGTGATTACCGCGGTCCTTCGATTTTCTTCGAGAAATATGGGCCTCATGATGATCAAGTTGTGCAGGGACGACCATCCAACCCTCCCTGTCTTCGCAGATCTTTTTGCACTCTTCTTCCGTGTGGACTTTCCCTGGAATCATCGACGCACAAAGAAATTACGGTAGCAGCGCCCGAAAGTAAAAGCACAATTGGACCGAGTTTAACAGAAAGGAACCAAGCCACATCAGCTATTGCCAAATTTAATTGGGCAATTTCATTTTTTCCATGAAAACGTTTGTGCGGATTTTTGTGTAAATTTCAGTGAATTTCCTGCATAGTACTGAGTAAATTCCCTGAAATTTTCAAAGGAATCCGCACAAACCTTCCTTTGAAAAAAATTAAATTGCCCAATTAAATTTGGCAATAGCTGATGTGGCTTGGTTCCTTTCTGTTTAATGCGGTCCAATTAGGAGAAAAAAGAAAGCAAGGGCAACAATGCTGCCGTGTTAAGGAAAAACGCCGTATGGACCTTCAGGCGTTGCCAAATTTCCTTTGATATAACGCAAATTCCCTGGTAAATTTATGAATATTTGCCTCCCAATTTTCCAGATGATTTAGTTGGGTATTTTACCTGAAGAGAGGCTGCCAAAAAAGATGCTTGATTGGGTTCCTCCTGGGAGGAGACGTAGGGGACGCCCAGTGAGAGGTTGGCGACAGGGGGTGTTGAGTGAGATGAGGGAGTGCCAACTTCCTGATGACCTGTGGGAAGACCGAGCTTTGTGGCGATTAGGCGTCGTAAAGCGCCAATGAGCGCTGTAAAAGCGACTCATATGTATGTATTTTACCTGAAGATTCTGAAAATTTGAAGAAAATTATTTATAACTCTCCTAAAAAATAAACATTTTATCGAAGGAAATTTGGCAACTCTCGAATGTTCATACGGCGTTCTTCCTTACTGCCGTGATAGCGAAGAGAGCCGTAAGTGCAAAAATGAAGTTTTGAGAAAACGGGCTCAGAAGCTTCTGACAAGATCATTTTATTGAAAGAAGCCTCCGTTCTTTGTCAAATTGCCACTAATCGTCCGGAAGACACCTAGAAATCATATGGATGATTAAAAATCGACTGATTTTATTTCCATTACATAAAAAGGGTATTTTTCATTTTCATGCTAGGTTATTGTTAGGCAAGACAGCCGTAATTGCTATCTTCTGCATGCTTTCGTGGTTGCGTTTTGGACGCACAACAAACACATTTTCAGGTTAGAAATTGGCAGAAGAGGGTGGCACTTTACTGGGAAGCACTGTTTTCATTGGCTCTCATGCATCTTGAAAAAAACTGTGTCATTTTTTGTGCACTTACGGCTTTTACATACGTCTCGTTTTCATTAAATTAGAATGAATTTTGCTGTTTTAGCTGTCTCAGTAATTTCATCTAAAAGAGTTTAGACGAATTTTGAAGAAAACTCGATTTCGAAAATTTTGCACTTACGGCTCTCTTCGCTATCACGGCAGCTTAGCACGGCAGAATGAGACTGTTGCAAACTTTTGCTTGAGCAAAAATAAGAGTTGTTACTCGTAGAAAATGTCTCAAAATCACGATAAACGCATCGGCAATGTCTGATATGCACACTCCTTACTTCACAATCTGCATAAGAAATTCGCGTTTTTTCGAGCTTTCCGTTTCAAAAACAATACCACGGCACAGGATTGTTGGAGAATTCATTCCATCCAACCCCTGGTCACAAGGATACTACCTAATATTCAACATAGCTGACGCCAGTCTGCCGAAACACATGTGACGGAACGATGATTCTAACCATCTGATATAACAATCGGCGTGTTTACACATTCACAGTTTTCTCGCTTTGACAGATATCCTCCAAAGAATCATTCTAAACCAACAAATTAGAAAAATTCAGAGATATGATAGCGGAATTCTGTTTGGAAAAAAAATTCGTGCATTCGATACAGCTATCGATGTCTGTGTCGAGTGTGAAGTTTCTTTCCGAAACGGATCCTGCCAATTTGTTGGTTTAGAATGATTTTTTAGGCTCATGAGCAGGGGCTATCATTCTTTTTTGGCTAAAAATTCAAAATCTGCCGAGATTTTTTACATAATCAATGCGATATATCGAACGCCAGACACCGTGACGAATCGCCTTATGTTGATTTCCTTGAGTTCCTGACAATTTCTATCGATTTGTAAAGATTTTGTAAAACCACTTTAGCTCTCGAGTTATGCTCGCTTAAAGCTCCGAAACCGGTCGAGACAGTCGCAAAAAGGCAGGATTTCATTTGGAGACAAAGCAATTCAAAATTTAGAGGGGTTGGAGGATCAGGAAGTTTTCGTTCGCTCTGTAAAATGATATATTAAATGGGTCGCAGGCAATTAGTTAAATCAGGCATTTTATCAAATGCCGAGGCATTTTACATTTTCAAAGTTCATAAGGTTTAATATGTTTCCACAAAAACTTCGCAAATTTTCAATATTTTGAGACTATAAATCCAACCAAGGACAAACTGTCCTTGCCCTGGTAAAAATTGGCAATAGGAGCTGTGTTTCAAAATACCAAAGGAATTCTTATAGCTGGCTAAAGAAGGCTACAGAAAATCATATAGCTGGCTGTGGAATGCGGAGAAAATCATACGGCCGGGCTATACGAAGCGATAAAAAATTATGAAGCCTGGCTATAGTTCCTATCGCCGGGCTTTACACTTTATCGCCTGGATGTTGCTTTTTTGCCATCGATTATAAAAGGCTATAAGATATTGTATAGAGATTCGTGTGCTTTGAAAATTATTAAGTTTGATACAAAACCACCTTAATATTTACAAAACACACATTATATTTTCCTTTGATACATATTTTTTTTTTATCAATTAAAATGAGAATAATCCATACAGGATGTGCAAACATTTCAAAATCATCAGTTGAATAACGCTGACTCCGCCAGATTAAATATTAGAGCCTAGCACAAAGCGGAGCTGCGACGCACTGGCGCCTACAAACCTAACAGGGATACTTCACGCATTGCGCAACGCGTGAAGTATCCCTGTTAGGTTTGTAGGCGCCAATGCTTGTTCAGCGCTGGCTGCCCGCCCGCCGCGCTGCACCGTAGCGTACCGCGGCGCTTGAAGCAACTATTTCACACCAGAGGTATTGCACAGTATCAGACGAAATTGAAGGCGCTCCAACATATTAGGAATGGCAGGCATCCATCAAAAGTGCGAAGCTTTTCTCGCAGAATAAACCAAGATACTACGGCCCAAAAAGAGAGCAGTTGTCAAAAAACTCACTAAGTCCTAGCATCCGTCATTAGTAACGTTTAGCATACACTTTATCGCCTGGCTGTTGCTTAGTCGCCATCGGCTATAAAAGGCTATGACATTGTGTAGCCGGCCATAGAAGCTATTGAAAATCTTACAGCCGGCTGTAGGTCTATGGTATTTTGGAACGCAGATTCTACTGCCAATTTTTACCAGGGTGTATTTCCCGTCCAAAAATGCTCTTTGTATTTCTTCAACTGTCCAATTGTGAAAATTCTTTATCTATAAAATGCTGCATAGTTTGAGACAAATGTGAGTTCGAGGACTGGAGAAACCCGATATATCATTGTATGAAGTAAATTTTCATAGAAAATTGTTTCCCCTGTGATCAGAGAATTATTTTGTCTTCAGTGAGCGAAATAATCAGAATGTCAGTCTATGTAAGCATACTTCACTAGTTACCTAGGCATTTAACAAAATGCCTGATTTGGATATATGCCTGAAACTTATAAATTAAATACTTACGTTCAGGTTCCTCCGAGTGTACAAATGGCATTACCAGGCAGAACGTCGTGAAAATGAGGCATCTTAGATACAGCATTGATGGAATTGGACGCGACTACCGGGCATTCGAATTACCGAAGGGAATAAGAGGAGGACAGCTTCGTTTTGAAAATATTTTATCAGCTTCTGGAATACAATTCAACGCGCATGCAGCGAGGATATTCGATCCAATCGACAGTTTTCTCTGAAAATTTTGCGGGGAAGAAGATGGTGCCACTTCACTGCACTTGATGACTTCGACTCGAAAAGGAAACTGCAGCCAATCAGGATCAAATGAGGAACGCTTAAAAACCAAGATTACCTTCAGGAACTGATCGTTATCCTCTCTTTGCGATTTAAGTTCAGGCTCACTCGTATTCAGTGGCGTGGCGTGCTTTGCGATGTATCGATTGATCTGCCATTTAAACTTATGGAAAAATATCGATAGACAGGGTGTTCGCAGCGGACACCTTGATAATCGATTCTTTACCATAGCTCCAAGTGGGGAAATATCGATGGTCAATCATTCACGCCACGCCACCGTGCGTGTTCGCGTGACTACAGAAACGAGATTAAACTGCAGTGCACCTACATTTGTAGAAAAATCATGTAGAGAATGGTAGAGAAATCGTCGTTCCCACACGACGGAACGTAACTCCATTCCAAGGTTGCGAAATTGACTTAAACAATCAAATTTTTTACGAGAATAGATCTGTATAGTTTTCCTTGAAAATGTATTTGATTTTCGCTTCGGGTCGGAAGAAAAATTAGTGAAATTTTCAGTTTGGGATTTCCAAAATAATCTTGGTAAAAAATGCACTTTGCGTGGGAAAATTTGGCAACATTGAAATTCAGTTGCGTTCTTTCGTGAGGAAAATGACGAAATATGCGTTGGCTGCAGGTATTAACACTGACGACTTTCTGACGATGGTCTCGTATTTTTTTTCGCCAGTGTCAATCGGGAAAACATGTTTTCATAAAATGCTTTCAAGGTCACATATGGTTTCATGCAAACTACAGGAGTAGAAAAAAGGCGAGCCCCCTGACGCAAATTACACGCGGTTAAAAAATCTGAACCGTCCTTTGAGCAAGGTGAAAAAATTTGCATTCAAATCGGAGGAGACAGAAATGATGTCGAGAGGTCTCTGTCAATATTCGTGGCCCAAAAATCGCCCGTCCCAGGTAGCATTTTTCAACGGAAAATTCGCGATATCTTTAAATTAGGTCGCGATTTTTCTTAGGATTTTTTGGCGATAAAACCTCCAAAGAATCATCGATTTCTGAGTCATTGTCCTCGATCTTGTTGCAATTTTATCTCTGTAAAATTGTGTTTGGTCGAACCGAAATTTTATTTCAGTTTATCACGATTTTTTGTTCGATAATACTGCGATGAATCGCCGTCGATAAAACTGCGATTTTTAAAGCAAATAGCGTAGTCCACCCCCAAGGAAGTCAAAACGAGGGGTTTGCGATCGAAACGGAATGGGCCTGTTGCAAACTTCAGCTATCGGAGCGAAAAGAGGAGCGATTTCTTACAGAAAATGGCTCAAAATCACGGACGCATCGGGGAAGTCTGAAATACACTCATAATTTCACAATCTTCGTCAGAAATATGCGTTTTTTTAAGCTTTCCGCTTCAATAACGATACTACGGCACAGATGAACATTTCGCAAGAGGCGTCGCACGGTGGATCGAGTCAATAGGAAAGGTAGGACAAAGTTTGGAAACTTTAAACCCTCATAACTCCGTTTATACAAGACTCTGAGGTTCAGAAAGTGGTTTCATCGGTTTCCACATACGATTTCCTTCCAAAAACACCCTTTGAAATTTAAAATGTGACGAAATAAACGTCCAAATTTTCAGTTTTAGTCAAATATTTCATGTCCGACCTCCATCTTCGACTCGATCCATTGTGTGTCGTTCCAGCCAACCCTTCACTGAAAAAAAATTCTCGTCGTTTTTACCAAGGTCCGTTGGTACCTTTAGTTTACAATCCCACTTTTTTTTACCAATGATTGGTAATTTTACCAAGACAGACTGGTAAACTTACCTAAAACCCGGTATTTTTACTGTTTTTTTTTTTTCAGGTAAGAATACCACTTTTATTGGTAATCAATTCCCGGTAACTTTGTCATTTCATCTCGGTAATTCTACCATAGTCGATAAAAAATATTGGCGTTTTTAACAAGGTCCAGTAAAATTACCGAGAAAGTTCAATAATTTTACCGAGATTTCTCGGTAAAATTACCAATTCCATAAATGGTAATTTTACCGACAAAAAACGGGGATCAAATAGAACCCTGAATTCTTGGTAATTTTACCCGTTTCTTAGTAAATTCACCGAGACTTTATTTTCAGTGTAAGATGCTACGCAATATTCTACATGGTATCGACGCCAGCCAATCCACNACCATAGTCGATAAAAAATATTGGCGTTTTTACCAAGATCCGGTAAAATTACCGAGAAAGTTCAATAATTTTACCGAAATTTCTCGGTAAAATTACCAATTCCATAAATGGTAATTTTACCGACAAAAAACGGGGATCAAATAGAACCCTGAATTCTTGGTAATTTTACCCTTTTCTTAGTAAATTCACCGAGACTTTATTTTCAGTGTAAGATGCTACGCAATATTCTACATGGTATCGACGCCAGCCAATCCACCAGAACACACGTGACGAAACAGGATTTCATCAACTGGCGTGTTTAACGGCATTTACATTTTCCCTCCGTTAATCAAGACCATGGTGTCTCTTACGAAGTTGAATATTGAGCAGCATCTTGATGCGCGAGGGTTGGGTTGGATGGAACGACTCTTCTCACGAAATGTTCACCTGTGTCGTTTTCGAAGCGGGAGGCTTAAAATTAACGCGTGATTCTTACGGAGATTGTGAAGTTAAGAGTGTGTTTCAGACTTTCTCGATGCATTCATCGTGATTTTTGAGCTATTTTCTACAAGTGATAACTTTTCTTTTGGCTCTAGCTAAAGTTTGCAACAGCCACACTGGCAGAAATGCATCGATGTAAGTGGGGATTGTTCTGAGAGAGGTAAGTCAAAGGTGCAAAAATTGCGTGTAATTTATCCTGAATTAACAAAAAATGACAATGTTTATTTAAATTAGCTCTTAAGGAACAATGCTTGTGAGCAAATGATTACTCTCAATCATAAATTCCTAAAAATCGAACACTCGTGAGATTGCCACAGTTCGGACCTGTTGTTCGAACAGTAGTTGAAAGCTAGTTTGAATTTTTCAAATGTGCATGTGAGCGTAGTCTGTGCATTTATGTAGGGCGACACAGGATTACGTACGAATTTTGAGGGAATCGATTCTTTGGGTCAAAACGGGTCTTTTTCGATGTATAAATTTTCTTTCAAAAATGCTTTTCCTGGGGGCCACGACCGCCCAAAATTGGAGGGGAAAAAATCGTCTATTTAACACTGTGACAATGTTTATCGACCAATATTAGTTAAAATTGTAACTCAGGTTAAATCTTAATGCTCTTTTCATTTTTGACCTCCAAACAATGAAAAACTCATTTTAAGGGGGGTTTGGGGGCAGTGGCGTGGCGTGAATTGCGATAAATCGATTGTTATGCCGCATAAACCTATGGTAAAGAATCGATTATTAAGGTGTTCGCTGCGAACACCCTGTTTATCGATTCTTTTCCAGAGGTTTAAATGGCCGATCAATCGATATATCGCAAAGCACGCCACGCCACTGTTTGGGGGGTATCGAACCTAAAAGTTGTCAAAATTAATGCCTCTAGCGGCAAAAGTCTTATTTGACGGCACCACTAGATTCAGCGTTGAAACATATTGGGAAAATGAATATCTCGCGTTTTTTCGCCATGACTCATCTTTCTCGGAATAATAGGGGGATATAATGGATTAATGGGGTCCCCAGGGAAAGCGTTTTTGGAAAAACAAAAAAGTTATACCACGAAAACGTCTTTTTTTTACCCGACGAATCACTCCTCCAATATTCGTACTTAATCCTGGGTCACCCTGTGCATTATCAGCTCTCAGGAAAGTCCAAGGAAACCTAATTCGGACGCACAGTGGGCTAGTTATCATCAAAATCCGGCTTCGAATCAAAGACACTTCGTAACGCAGGAATTGAAAATTTGCAGGTGTCTGAAATTTGAAGAATTTCGTTGAAGTGGAAACTACTTAGTGAACTGAACGCGAGGATACCCTTGGTTCATGAACCGAACAATTATTGGAGAAGATACGACAAAATGATCTGATCTGCTGAAATGCATGTTTAAATGGGAAATGCCATCAGATGACGTCACTAGGTGGTGCATTTCCTCACTTTTAAATATATTCTTATACTACCTATTTCCCATATCAGATAAAAATAATACAAATACTGTAAAATCAGTTCTTTAAGGGTGGTTTCACGATAACTGGAATAGTTTTGTCGCCGTAACGGACAACACATTTTTCAGTCATATTTTTAGTAGAAATAATAATCACTCGAATTTTTTCACATTAATCTTCAAAGGGTTACGTATTATAAAGGTCTCTAATGATTTATCGCTCTAATTCTCAATCAATATCATGTAAGTTCCGAAAATGTATTGTCTGTTACGCGGTAAAAAGTCAGCGTAACAGACAGCACATTTTCGGCCTATTTTATATATTAAAATTGACAAGTAGAGCGATAAATCTTCGAAAAGCGTCATAACACGTAACCCTGTGTAGATTAATGCAAATAATTTGAGTGATTATAATCATTACTACTAAAAAAATGACCGAAAAATGTGTCGTCTGTTACGGCGACAAAACTATTCCAGTTATCGTGACAACGCCCTTAAACGCTTTCAGATGAGGCTATAAAAAATTTGCATGCAAATTCTCCATTAAGCAGCTGCTAAATCAGTCTATCTCTTGTGTGCAACCCCTCTACAGAGGTTCCTTGAACCAGTTCGCCAAGGACTTCCTGGGTGTGTCTGCGTACTCAATATCGATCCCGTTATCTCTCAGATATTGTCTGGCTTGGGAATGGTTTATACCCCACAACCGCGCGAAGTTGTAGCTGAGACGCTCTTTCCCTTGTTTGACCAAAAATTCCCGGACTTCGATGTGGTTCAATTCGCAGTGGCATTTCTTGTCTCTGGTTACCCTGGCATGAGTGATATGGATTCGGCGAAGCTTCCGAGGAGGGTTGAAATCAGTATGCTGATTACCATGGTCCGTTCCTTTGTCGTGAGTCTTGTTATCATTATGCTGATTACCACGGTCCGTCCCTTTGCCGTGAGGCTTGATATCATTCTGGTGATTACCATGGTCCGTCCCTTTGCCATGAGGCTTGATATCATTTTGGTGATTACCCTGGTCCTTCCCTTTGTCTTTCTTTGTCCCGTTGCGATACTCGACGATCCATCCCTCTTTATCCTCGCAATGCTTCTTGCAGCCGTTTTCATCGTATGTTTTGGCTAGAATTATCGACGTAAGAAAAAATTACGATAAAGATTTGAGCGAACACTGGAATAAAAGTGTAGCAACATCTACTTGAATTTTTACACAGTGATACTATCCGCTGATGACATGCCAAACGGCGGAGCGAAGAGCTCATTATCAGTGGCGTGGCGTGCTTTGCGATATACGAGGGCTGTCCCAAAAGAAACCGGACTTTTGTCATAGAAGGCGAACCGAGCGTTGTAATGAAGTTTTCTTGGGCTTGTTTGAAAGCTGATAAGCTACTGAAGATGCTTGTTTTTACAGAATGCAAAAATTCGTCTTGGTAAGGAAACTACACGCTTTGGAATAAAGGAAAGTCAAACTCGAGTTGCGATTTTTGTCTTTATTTCAAGAAAAATTTAGATACAACTTTAAAAAAACACAGGGTTTAAGTTAAAAATTCGTTTCTCTCTTATTCAAATGCTTAAAAATAAGGAAATTAACATTTTAAGCAGCTTACCAAGTCATAACCTATCCTTTTTAAAATACTTGCCAGCTTTGTCGATGCATTTTTTTCCACCGTTTCTTCAATTGGGAGAAACACTGTTGGAAATCCTCAGATTTGAATGATCGCAATTCCTTCAAGGTGACCTGACCTGGCTCCGTGTGATTTTCACTTATTTCCACGACTTAAATCTACCTTGAAAGGTCGACGTTTTCAAACCATTCCGGAAATTCAAAAGAGCACCTTGTAGGAATTGCGATCATTCAAATCTGAGGATATCCAACAGTGTTTCTCCTAATTGAAGAAACGGTGGCAAAAATGCATCGACAAAGCTGGCGAGTATTTTGAAGGGGGTAGGTGATGACTTGGTAAGTTGCTTAAAATGTTAATTTCCTTATTTTTAAGCATTTGAATAAGAGAGTAACGAAGTTTTTAACTTAAAACCTGGGTTTTTTTAAGTTGTATCTAAATTTTTCTTGAAATAAAAACAAAAATCGCAACTCGAGTTTGACTTTCCTTCATTCCAAAGCGTGTAGTTTCCTTACCAAGACGAATTTTTGCATTCTGTAAAAATAAGCATCTTCAGTAGCTTATCAGCTTTCAAATAAGCTCAAGAAAACTTCAGTACGACGCTCGATTCGCCTTCTATGACAAAAGTCCGGTTTCTTTTGGGACAGCCCTCGTATCGATTGATCTACCATTTAAACTTATCGAGAAGGATCGATAAACAGAGTGCACCCGACGAACACCTCAATAATCGATTCTTTTCTGTAGCTACAAATGGAAAAAGATCGATAATCGATCATTCGCACCTCGTCACTGCTCACTATACCACTCGTTCCAGAACTTGAGATGCGTTTTTCACAAAACCACGCATTTTCGTTCTCAAACTTTGAAATGCTCTAGGTCAAATTTTGGAACTATTTTGTGTTGTATGCGTGATAAATGATTCAGAATTAAACCCTAAACGCGGGAATATTGTTATCTCATTTTGTTTATTTTCCTCGTTCTAAGTCCCCTCTTTTTCGTCAGGTGCATCACATAACGATGGTGAGACTGCAGAAATTCGTATCTCGGTTTGCGACGTCGCAGAATGGAGATGTTGCATGTGTGAGGAATTTGCGATTTGACTTTTACATACGAATCAACAGTCATATCGCGAATTCCTCACACTTGCAATGTCCCAATTCTAGTCATATTTTATTTATTATATGGAAAACTTCTGATCATCATTTTTTTAAAAATTCGGGTGATTTTTTTCCTCTGTGCACAGAAAAAAATAGATGGTGCTGACGACGGAACCTTCTGTTCACAGGGCTCCTGCGGTTCCTTTGTTACACTTACAGAATTTTTCTGTTGTGAGAACAGAATTTCGGTCGTAGGAACAGAGTACTCTGTCCTCATAACGGAAGCTTCTGAGACCGTTACAAAAGTAGTGCAGGAGCCCTGTGAACAGAACTATTTTTTTCAGTGTGTGAAGATTATTCTGTTCAAATTTCAAACCATAATGTTTTGTTTGGTGCCCTTTTGGAAAATGTAGTAGGAGAGTGGAGATTTTCAAACACCGTAATCGAGCCACGCATTCTTTGCATTTTCACCGTCGATAAGTAGCTTAAATTCTGATGCATTCAAAAGGAGGAGCAGGCATGGGCGGAAATAGGGAGGACCCAGTAGCGTGGCGTAAATGATCGATTATCGATATTTCTCCATATGAATCCGTGGTAAAGAATCGATTATTAAGGTGTTCGCTGCGAACGCCCTACTAATCGATCCTTTTCCATAGGTTTAAATGACAGATCAATCGATAAATCGCAAAGCACGCCACGCCACTGGGAGGACCGGGAGGGCTGCGGGGGCCGCCCCTCCCCCCCCCCAATGCTGCTCGGCCCCTCCAAAAAATGTCAAGGACTCAAGCTACTAATATACTTTGAGGTAAAAGGCATATCGACGGTGAAACTACCAAACCACGTATCTCGGTTTGCGACGTCGCAGACTTCCTGCCATACTTTATTTTTTAAATAGAAAACTACTCAACGTCAGTTCGTGAAATCTTCCGTGATTTTTCCTCTTTGTACGGAGAAAAATCGGTGAAAATTGTAAGAAATGACATTGATTTCATCTCCTTCAAAAAAATAAAATGTGAGTGGAGATTTTTAAACACTGCATACGAGATACGTGGTCTGGTAGTTGCACCGTCGATATGGAATGTAATAAGTATGAGCTTAATCCTAATATAATCGATCAAAGATGTCGGAAAAATGAAAATTACTCGCAAAGAGAGCAGCTTCCTCCGAGTAAGGAACATGGAATGTAGTTTGACTGTATCCGGTCATGGTTTTTCGCGCATTTTAGCGCAGTACTTGTTTTCATGAGAGTTAAATTAAGATAAATTCAATTAAACCCCACAGTAAGATATGATATTTTTAAAAACAAGTCAGCAAAATTTCTGTCATCTATAATATTTAATTCCATCTAATTTGTCATTGAGAATGGCTTTAAATTGCTCCCAAGACGTTCCAATTTTCAAACATTTTCAGGGGGAGGCCCCTCGGACCCTCCTCTGCAGCTGGGGGAGTCCCCCCAGACCCCCCTTAGCCCAAGTTCTATATCCTTCTGTGCCGCCCCCCCCCCAAAAAAAAAATCCCTAGTTCCGCCCATGGGAGCAGGTTTATCAACTTGCAAGAATCGTCACTGAAAAGAAGTTTATACGTAAATTTGACGAACCTTCGGCCTTTCTCTTTTCCTCCCTCAGTTGGTCGAGATTGTACGGTGGATACCCCAATTTTATATCCGTTTCCTGCACATGAGCCATCCAATACTTCAGCGAAAGATGCCCTATATTGTACTTTTTCTTGAATTCTGCGAAACTGACACCATGACGGTCTAGAAATCGCTTAACGGCGTCTTCGTTCAACCGGCAGGTGTAGTCACCGTTGGGCTTCATCTTCCTCTTGATAGGAGACGAGATCCAGACAATCGGAAAATGTGGCTTCTTAAGGTACCCGTCATGTGTCTGGCAGTAGACTTCGTCGTCACTTCCCACATAGTCTGGCTCTGAAATAATAGAATACTGAGGGCTGATTATTGAAATCAATAGACAAAACCATAAGCAAAGAAGACTTGGGACGTATGGGACTTTGAATTCAGGGCTTTTCAAAAATTTTCCCCTAAAACAAATTTGCCTCCCCGCATCTTCGGACGGATCAGAGGTTCCTTGGTCTTTGACCGTTGAAGGTCGGCCGTAGTCTCAAATAAAACAAAAGACGATAAAAGCTTAGACGGAAAGACATTTTTATTATTGAAATAACTTTCTACTTTTTCTCCTCCTCAATATTTAGAGGTAGTATAATTTATTTAAAGTTGAAATNTATGGATTCGGCGAAGCCTCTGAAGTTTCTTGAAATCAGTATGCTGATTACCATGGTCTGTCCCTTTATCGTGAGTCTTGTTATCAGTATGCTGATTACCACGGTCCGTCCCTTTGCCGTGAGGCTTGATATCATTCTGGTGATTACCATGGTCCGTCCCTTTGCCGTGAGGCTTGATATCATTTTGGTGGTCACCCTGGTCCTTCCCTTTGTCTTTCTTTGTCCCGTTGCGATTCTCGACGATCCATCCCTCTTTCTCCTCGCAATGCTTCTTGCAGCCGTCTTCATCGTATTTTTTGGCTAGAATTATCGACGTAAGAAAAAATTACGATAAAGATTTGAGCGAACACTGGAAAAAAAGTGTAGCAACATCTACTTGAATTTTTACACAGTGATACTATCCGCTGATGACATGCCAAACGGCGGAGCGAAGAGCTGATTATCAGTGGCGTGGCGTGCTTTGCGATATATCGATTGATCTACCATTTAAACTTATCGAGAAGGATCGATAAACAGAGTGCACCCGACGAACACCTTAATAATCGATTCTTTTCTGTAGCTGCAAATGGAAAAATATCGATAATCGATCATTCGCGCCTCGTCACTGCTCACCATACCACTCGTTTCAGAACTTGAGATGCGCTTTTCACAAAATCACGCATTTTCGTTCTCAAACTTTGAAATGCTCTAGGTCAAATTTTGGAACTATTTTGTATTTTATGCGTGATAAATGATTCAGAATTAAACCCTAAACGCGGGAATATTGTTATCTCATTTTGTTTATTTTCCTCGTTCTAAGTCCCCTCTTTTTCGTCAGGTGCATCACATAACGATGGTGAGATTGCAGAAATTCGTATCTCGGTTTGCGACGTCGCAGAATGGAGATGTTGCATGTGTGAGGAATTTGCGATTTGACTTTTACATACGAATCAACAGTCATATAGCGAATTCCTCACACTTGCAACGTCTCCATTCTAGTCATATTTTATTTATTATATGGAAGACTTCTAATCATCATTTTTTTTTTTAAAATTCGGGTGATTTTTTTCCTCTGTGTGAAGATTATTCTGTTCAAATTTCAAACCATAATGTTTTGTTTGGTGCCCTTTTGGAAAATGTAGTAGGAGAGTGGAGATTTTCAAACACCGTAATCGAGCCACGCATTTTTTGCATTTTCACCGTCGATAAGTAGCTTATTTCTGATGTATTCAAAAGGAGGAGCAGGCATGGGCGGAAATAGGGAGGACCCAGTAGCGTGGCGTAAATGATCGATTATCGATATTTCTCCATTTGAATCCGTGGTAAAGAATCGATTATTAAGGTGTTCGCTGCGAACGCCCTACTAATCGATTCTTATAGACTCAAGCTACTAATATACTTTGAGGTAAAAGGCATATCGACGGTGAAACTACCAAACCACGCATCTCGGTTTGCGACGTCGCAGACTTCCTGCCATACTTTATTTTTTAAATAGAAAACCACTCAACGTCAATTCGTGAAAACTTCCGTGATTTTTCCTCTTTGCACGGAGAAAAATCGGTGAAAATTGTTAGAAATGACATTGATTTCATCTCCTTCAAAAAAATAAAATGTGAGTGGAGATTTTTAAACACCGCAAACGCGATACGTGGTCTGGTAGTTTCACCGTCGATATGGAATGTAATAAGTATGAGTTTAATCCTAATATAATCGATCAAAGATGTCAGAAAAATGAAAATTACTCGCAAAGAGAGCAGCTTCCTCCGAGTAAGGAACATGGAATGTAGTTTGACTGTATCCGGTCATGGTTTTTCGCGCATTTTAGCGCAGTACTTGTTTTCATGAGAGTTAAATTAAGATAAATTCAATTAAACCCCACAGTAAGATATGATATTTTTAAAAACAAGTCAGCAAAATTTCTGTCATCTATAATATTTAATTCCATTTAATTTGTCATTGAGAATGGCTTTAAATTGCTCCCAAGACGTTCCAATTTTCAAACATTTTCAGGGGGAGGCCCCTCGGACCCTCCTCTGCAGCTAGGGGGAGTCCCCCCAGACCCCCCCTTAGCCCAAGTTCTATATCCTTCTGTGCCGCCCCCCCCCAAAAAAAAAATCCCTAGTTCCGCCCATGGGAACAGGTTTATCAACTTGCAAGAATCGTCACTGAAAAGAAGTTTATACGTAAATTTGATGAACCTTCGGCCTTTCTCATTTCCTCCCTCAGTTGGTCGAATTTGTACGGTGGATAACCCAATTTTATATCCGATTCCTGCACATGAGCCATCCAATACTTCAGCGAAAGATGCCCTATATTGTACTTTTTCTTGAATTCTGCGAAACTGACACCATGACGGTCTAGAAATCGCTTAACGGCGTCTTCGTTCAACCGGCAGGTGTAGTCACCGTTGGGCTTCATCTTCCTCTTGATAGGAGACGAGATCCAGACAATCGGAAAATCTGGCTTCTTAAGGTACCCGTCATGTGTCTGGCAGTAGACTTCGTCGTCACTTCCCACATAGTCTGGCTCTGAAATAATAGAATACTGAGGGCTGATTATTGAAATCAATAGACAAAACCATAAGCAAAGAAGACTTGGGACGTATGGGACTTTGAATTCAGGGCTTTTCAAAAATTTTCCCCTAAAACAAATTTGCCTCCCCGCATCTTCGGACGGATCAGAGGTTCCTTGGTCTTTGACCGTTGAAGGTCGGCCGTAGTCTCAAATAAAACAAAAGACGATAAAAGCTTAGACGGAAAGACATTTTTATTATTGAAATAACTTTCTACTTTTTCTCCTCCTCAATATTTAGAGGTAGTATAATTTATTTAAAGTTGAAATTGTTTATTATGTTAAAACTGTGTATTATAGCTAAGTTTGACTTGCAGATTAGATAAGCTTTTAAAGACATTTAATATGTCTATAAGTGTTATAATTTTACAGTGTTAATTTTACTTGTGCAAATAAAAATAAAAAATCCTACTGGTTGATACGGGTAGTTGTCGTAGACTAAGAGGGAACATGATGGACTAATCTGCCGTGCTAAGGAAGAACGCCGTATGAGCCTTCAAGCGTTGCCATATTTCTTTTAATTAGTATCAAATTTACTGGGAAAATTCTGAATATTTTTCTTCCAATTTTTCAAATAATTTTGTCCGTGATCTCACTTAGAGTTCTTGAAAATTTCAAGGAAAAGTATTCATAACCTCCTCAAAATTAAACATTTTATTGGAGGAAATTTGGCAACTCTCGAATGTTCTTACGGCGTTTTTCCTTATCATGGCAATAATGGGAGGGTCTCTCGTGGGTTGCCGTATGTTAGTCTATTACTTACCTCCTTCGTCCATTGCAACCACCCGCTCCCACCAATAGGATCCTTTACTTTCAGCGTATGGTATTTGTCTATCGCTTTGTCTATCAATTTCAATAATCAGCCCGCTGCCGTGCTGAGGAAAAACTCCGTATGAACTTTCACTTATTGTCAAATTTCCCCTGATAAAAAATGGCTTCCAGGATTTGATGTCCACCTATCTTTCGTCCATTAAATAAATTTCCACCGATATTTATGTCCACTAAACGTTAAGTCCAGTCTTTATTAAGTCCACATGATTTAATGTCCAACCCTGAATATGTCCAAAATTGTCCAAATTGTGGACATTGTATGTTCACATTTTTTTCTTCTCATTTAAATGACAGGAACCACCTCAAAAATAAATAGGAAACGCTCCAATGCCAAATTAAACATTTTCCAGTAACAGATGCAGTCAAAATTGAAAGTCCTCTTTAACTAGTCATTTCGTGCGCATTCAATCTTGTAGGATACTGTGCAACGCCTCTGACGCGAAATAGTTGCTTAAAGCGTTGCGACGCGGCAGGCAACCAGCGTGACACGCGCATAGGCGCCTAAAAACCTAACGGGATACTTCACGCGTTGCGCAATGCGTGAAGTATCCCGTTAGGTTTGTAGGCGCCAGTGCGCGTTCTGCGCTGCTAACACGCCGCTCCGCTCTGTGTTAGGCTCTAATATTTAAACTCGCGGAGTCAGCGTTTTTCAACTCATGATTTTGAAATGTTTGCACTCTCTGCATTGATTATTCACTTTTAAACTGATGAAAAAAAAATGTGTAGGTACTACTGGAAAATATAATGTGTTTTTTGTAAATATATTAGTGGTTCCGTGTCAAATTTAATGATTTCCAAAGCATTCAAATTTATTCTTTTATGTTTTGGGCTTTTACTGTGCCTCAGTGCATGGGTGTAAGCGCAACCAAACGCTTAAAATTGGACGTATTTGACTCAAGGAGGTCGATGTAAAAATAAGTTAAAAACAAAAAATGCGTGCTTCTTAGTTTTTTTCCTCTTTTATTAATTTTTGTATAGTTTCTTTCATCACAACTACGGCTCATTGAGATTCATATCGATGCCATTGCTTGGAAAAGATTTTGCAAATATTTACCGCGTTTTACAAATGTAAATGTATTTAAAATGAAGTAATCGATTTCATTAAAAAAAAGAATGTACATTTAAGGCATATTTTATAACGGAAATTTCAAGAATAGAAATGAAACCAAGTATTTACCAAAGACAATTTGAAAAGATGAATCAAGAGAAGAAATTAATTATTAACACAACAGAAGAATTTAAACATTTCATTTAAAATATGAGTTACGATAACAACACCTCATTCTCTCTTAATTTTCTCATTTCGATATTGTCAATATAATTTTACACACGGACTAAAATATGACGCTTGAATTTGATTTTAGTGGACTTTACATTTGTGGACTTAACTTAGTGGACGTTTAAGTAATGGACGTAACGATAGTGTGGGCTTTAGAACTGTGGACGTAAAAATTGTGGACGAAAAGTCTGTGGACGTAAAAAAAGTGGACATAAAGTCCGTGTACCAAAAAATGAATGTCGGAAGTAAGTTACGCATATTTTTTTCTTGAAATTTTCAGACATTTCAGATTAATTTGGGAACAAAATTGTCAGAAAAATGGGACGGAAAATATTCACGACTTTCCCAATACATTTTTATTAAATCGAAGGAAATTTGGCACTGCATGAAGGTTCATACGATGTTTTTCCGTTGGTTCGTAAAATACCTCGACGGACCCAATTTGGATGAGATTCAACGCGGAGTCAAGAACTTCAATTCTAAAGTCATTAACACCGTGCTTATTCGGTTCGGATAATCTAAATTTCGTAAGCCCCATATAGAGTGGCATTTTTCACTGGGGATTTTGGCAACTTTAGCCGAGAACTTTGGTGTGCCGCGATGAAAAGCGTTTCAAGAACATTCCGATTTTGCCAAAATGTTACTGCTGAAAAATAGATTTTCGAAGGAGTTTTCGTATATTTTTCATTGAATTTTTTTTTATGATTTGATTCAAAATTTAATCTTAAGAGTCTGTTCACTTCGCCGTTCCTCTCACGAAAGAACGTAACTATATTTAAATGTTGCCAAATTTCTCCTCGCAAATTGCATTTGCACCGGGATAATTTTTGGCATCGCTAACTGAAAATTTAAGTAATTTCCCTTCTGATCTCATGAAAAAATCAGAACAAATTTTTTGACAAAAACTGCACCGGTACTTTTTGTAAGAGACTTATTTTTTTAGTCAATTTTGCAACCTTGGAATGAAGTCACGTCATTTCGTCTGGGGAACAACGATTTAAGTCATTATCAGCGCGATAATTTTTGGCATCGCTAACTGAAAATTTAAGTAATTTCCCTTCTGATCTCATGAAAAAATCAGAACAAAGTTTTTGACAAAAACTGTACCGGTACTTTTTGTAAGAGACTGATTTTTTTAGTCAATTTTGTAACCTTGGAATGAAGTCACGTCATTTCGTCTGGGGAACAACGATTTAAGTCATTATCAGCGAGATAATTTTTGACATCGCCAACTAAAAATTTAAGTAATTTCCCTTCTGATCTCATGAAAAAATCAGAACAAATTTTTTGACAAAAACTGCACCGGTACTTTTTGTAAGAAACTGATTTTTTTAGTCAATTTTGCAAACTTGGAATAAAGTCACGTCATTTCGTCTGGGGAACAACGATTTAAGTCATTATCAGCGCGACAGGAAAAGTCGCAAAAAGGCAAAATCTAGTTTTGCTACGCTGGGGTATCCATTCAAAATTTAAAAGAAGGGGGTGGGGGACCGGGACTTGACGTTTACCCTGCGGTATAATCTATTTATATAATACAGCTGTAGATTAATGAATATAGAATGAGAGGCTTGGAGGACAAGCTGCAAAAGTGCAGTTTTTGAAAAAATTGAGATATTCATAAACTCGACTAAAACTAGTTTGTATGTATATTCTGCGAAAAATTCACAACTAAAATCCATGTCTAAAGCATCAAAACGTGAGTTTAAACTTCCTTTCTTCGACGACGCTCCGTGTAATTTTGAAACTTGAAACACATCTTTCTTGAAATAGCAAAAACTGCACTTTTGACTTGGATTTTTCACTTAAATATTGATTTTTACTAATTTAGTTCAAAAAGTTTGTTTCACATTATTTCCTTCATTCAAGCTTTTAATTATGAAGCAATTTATTACGATACCTTAGTACGGTTAATTCACTGCAGCTATTTAACTCACTCATTGAGCAGAATTTATCTAAAAAGTTTTTTCTTTAAACCATGTTTTTGATAAACAGTTGGAAATTGATTAATTGCCTAGTTGTTAATTTAAATCTAAACTGTAAATTAGGATTGCCTTGTTCTCCAAAACTCTCAAATAAGGAATATAGAGTTGGAATGTAGAATATAGAATATAGAATATAGAATATAGAATATAGAGTAGAGAGTAGAGATGACACGACTCACCGCCTGGTATTAGTGATGCTGGTCTGGTAGGGCGGATGAATAGCTGTATCAGGCAAATCGTCATGAAAATAACGTAGCATCCCGCATGTTGCATATCGATGCAATTGAAGGCGATGGTCGTGCACGCAAACGACGGAAACGTACAGAGGACGGCTTCGTTTCAAAAATATCTTATCAGATGTTCCTGGAATACGATTCAACATCAATAGAATTCTGCGAAAGACAAGATGGAGACACTAGTCTTCAATTTCTCGTAGACCGTGAATTGTGAAGCTGTAAAAATGCCTACACTGTTAAAAATTTCGAGCGCTAGTGCTTGGCGTGTTACGGCGGACAAACTGTTTGCACAGTTTTAATATACATAAGCACGGATAGTTGTGAACACGCTCTGTTTTTTTTTGAACACGAGCGACCTTGCCGAGGCTAAAATATTTGTATTTTAGCCTCGGCAATTTTGTATTTTATGCGGGTAAAATAAACACTATACGGCAGTTGGTTCTAGACACTGAAGTCTGCGTGTCTCTTTGAATCAAAAAGTGAGTAAGTCAAAAACTGGTGTGTCTTAGTGAACCGAAACTTTTCGACCAGGGTGCTCCGTTTCTCCGACTAGAGTGTTAAAATGAACACCCTCGATTCTCGGACCGCGTGGGATAGGTTTTGGTGGCTCACGAGAGTTATGAAGGGATAATGGACCACTAGACAAGGTACGAATTTAAGCATTCTGATACATGTATCTTAACCAAAATTTCACGTAGAACACGATTCGCGCAACGAAAATTACTGAAACCAACTCCTAACGAAGCTATTAACATTTTTATTTCACATTGGTTACGAGGAATTTGAACTGCCCGCTCACAAGAAACTCAAAGCTCTACGTAAGTCAAATCACGCCCTACAACGGTTTCAGCAAGCTTCTCAATCGAGCACTGTTCATTTCCCACCATGTGTTTTTCAAACTATAAGTAATTAGCTATAGCTGAGCCAAAGTGTCAAGATTGAGGTTGCCAGATTTTTTCATCGCAGAGACGTTCATGATAACGTTTCGCGCGCGATGTGAATCACGTAGAGCATTGAGTTTTCATGAGCGCGTGCTTTGAATTCACGCACCAAGAATCATTAATATCTTCGGAAGGAGTTGATTTCGGTAATATTCGTTGTGCGCATCGTGTTTTACGTGATATTTTGGTAAAGAAACGTGTATCAGAATGCTGAAATTCGTACTTTGTCTAGTGGTCCATTTAGCGCATTCGCCAAGCAGACTCGCGATCCCGGTTGGTAGCGTGTCTCGCTGGAAACCCCAGTGTCGCGGGATCAAATCTCCTCTGGACCACGGAGATTTTACGCTGAATTGGAAAGTCAATTTTATTCGTTAAAAATGTGTGTATGTATCATGAGTTTAATCTCTGTGTAACATCTGAATGTACAGAATGTATCCGACTGATAAATGACTGGTGTACCTTCAGAGAACTTGTACACCTCACAACTAGCGTGCGCTACCAACCAGAAAATTTTGGGATACATACGAGTGTGTTTGCGGAACGCACACGTGTGTTGAGAGTACCCACTCAACCCATAGAGTACATAGAGTCGTAATGTAAATGGGAGAGCTGGCGCCATGTTCTGCTCGACGAATTCCGAGCCCGGTGTGCGCCGAGTTCGGGTTTTTCATTTTTCATTTTAAAACGAAAACTTGGCAGAAATGTTTCCTGTGGCAGGAAATGATGAATGGTGGCACTCCGTTCTGATCTTACTTTGAACAAAAAAGTGCGGCCCGTCAATATTTTATGGTAGATGGTGACCACCAGTCATCAGCATGTCTACTTTGATCGGAATTGGTTCGGAATTTGATCGTCTATGCAGAGCTTATAGGTCAGTCATTGCGCAGATTTCCCGCTCGGGGTAAGCCCCTTTCCATTGGCTCGTGACGTCAGCATCACTGCCGCGAAAACCAGAAAAGTCGGAAACAATGCTTTTCTTACGGGAGAGAGCAACTTTTTCTTAACGAGTCATTTAAATTTCTTACTTTTAAATCTCTTGAAACTTTCTGAGTGTCGAAGGAAACGTTTAGACATTAGCATCCAGGGTTTCGATTTTGCCGAATTTGTGTCCTTTCTTTTTTACAGTTTACTCTGCATCAGCCATTTTTACACGGGAATCCGTACCACTAGATAGCCTGTTACATCGCTGACTTCAAAAATCATTTAAAAATATAAAAACGCAAATTCAGCTGAGTTTAAACCCTGGACGCTAATGTCTAAACATTCTTTTCGACACTCAGAAAGTTAGAAAGGATTTAAAAGTAAGAAATTTAAATGATTCATTAAGAAAAATTTGCTCTCTCCCATAGGAAAAGCATTGTTTCCGACATTTCTGGTTTTCGCGGCAGTAATGCTGACGTCATGCGCAGAAGATTCTCATTTCGGTTTCGGGAATGACTGACCTATATGGATGGATCTTGGTTCTATACTAATCATGCTCGTCGTTTCAGTGAACACGCTAGTGTGTACTGGAATGCAACGGTGTGTTCCTCTCAACCGCTCGCGGGTATCGGGAACACTAAGCTTATCGACGGTGAAACTACCAAACCACGTATCTCGTTTGCGGTGTTTAAAAATCTACGCTCGCATTTTATTTTTTTATAGTCGACCAAATCAATATCATTCCTTGAAATTTTCACAGAATTTTTCCCGCACAAGGAGGAAAAATCACTGAAATTTTCAAGACTAGACGTTAAGTAGTTTTTCATTTAAAAAATAAAGTATGACAGGAAGTCTGCGACGTCGCAAACCGAGATAGGTACGTGGTTTGGTAGTTTCACCGTCGTTATGTTCCTTAGGATAAATGAGCCAAATAAACACACCGATGTGTTCAGTTTTTTTTAACAGTGCACTTCGCTTGCGGGTTTGCAAAATCTCCGCTTCTGTCTTTTTTTTTCAAAGAATACCGAACCAACTTCATGGCTTGGGTTTTCACAGAATATTCTTCCTAAAGAGAGAAACAATCAATGATATTTTCTTGAAATGACGTTTAGTAGTTTTCCATGTAGAAAATAAAGGATGACAGGAAGTTTACGACGCCTCCAACCGAAATACGCATTCCTGCAATTTCACCATCGACATGTTTAAAGAACGCTCCTAAATTGAGATTGCAGTGAAATTAGCACCCAAAGCCAATAAGAGAGTTCTACATGTTTACTTTATTCTGTGTTTTAAAATATCTGGTATTGCGCAAGAGGTGATTCGGGGGTACCTACTCTGCTCAAACAATTATTTTCATCTGTAAAAGTAACATGCAAAATTTAAAAACTCGCCGTTTTTGGAAATTTGTAAATTTAAATAACGTAACAAACTGCTTCATGGGATAGAACCCATAGCTTTGATTCTAGAGATATATCGACGGTGTAAGTCGGCAATCACATAACTCGGTTTGCGACGTTGCAGACTTCCTGTCATACTTTATTTTTTAAACAGAAAATTACTCAACGGCAATTCTTTAAAACTGCCATGATTTTTCTTCTCTGTGCGAAGGAAATTCTGCAAAAACTTCAAGGACCGACGTCAATTTGTTCTCCTTTAAAAAAATAACATAGAGGCGGAGATTTTCAGACGCCGCAAACGAGATATGTGATTGTCGACTTATACTGTCGAATTCAGGGTCGGACTGGCTCGCATCTGAGGGCGTAGACCCTTGGCTGGTTAAAGGGGCGTAATGTGATATTTCCTGGTAGGGCATTCCTTACGAGGAGAGGGGTTCAGAAAATTTTGGCAAATCAGCACAAGTTTACACTATTTTCAGGTTCAAAGTTTATTGATCGAACGGAGTAAAAATTGCAAAATTGAACGTGAAGCACAGCATTGACAGCTCACGCTTTGCGTCATCGCGCCTTCAATTTTTCAGATGCAGCACGGACGTCCATCAAGTACGAATAGTTGTATCTCTGCGCCGTCGTGAACGCGCATCCTTTCCCTCCCTCTTTTTCCATATTGTGTTTGTTTCCGTTTGTCTTATTCGTAATGCTGCCTCAAGCACTACGTGAGAAATACAGCCGAAGGTAGGAGAGATGTCTTCAGGCCTTTTTTTAACTTTTCTCCCGAATCAGAGCGACGCTTCATTGACAGCATAAAGCAGAGCATTGAGAGCTCACGGTTCGCGTCATCGCGCCTTTAATTTTTCAGATGCAGCACGGACGTCCATCAAGTACGAATAGTTGTATCTCTGCGCCGTCGTTAACGCGCATCCTTTCCCTCGCTTTATTTCCATATTGTGTTTGTTTGCGTTTGTCTTATTTGTAATGTTGCTTCAAACTAGAGCAGAGCATTGCGAGTTCACGACTCACGGCATCGCATCGCGTCTTACATTTTTCATATGCAATGTGGACATCCATCTTGCGCGAATAGTTGTATCGCGTTTACATTTTAGATGTCTCTTATTTTTGAATTTCGAGATAAATTAAGGTTAAGTTTGCCCGAGCTATGCTATGGTATGTCCAAATCAATAGTCATTTGAAAAGGAAGAAATATGTTTAAAGGTCTCTTAAGAGGTCTATAAAGGACGCGTATGTCTAAAAATCGAACCGACCATCGCTTCTAAGGGAGTTACACATAGCGAATTTTTCTCACATATTCTCGGTCGTAATTTTTTTCTTCTTATTTTGCTATCTGTAAGAGGGGCGCGTTTTCGGCGCGCAAAGGGGGCGTATCTGCCAATGGCAGATTGGCCTTATGGCCAGTCCGAGCCTGCGGCGTCGATATCTAATATGAAGTAGCCCAAAATAGCGATGAGAGTTGGACTGCAGCTTGAAATTTGAATAAATTCGGCTCTTCTGGACAAATAGTTCTGTGCATAGGGAAACTAATGACGGTCGAAACATGACGGTTTTGACATCGAAAGTAAAGGCGAACCTTCATAGAACTAAACTTCCTCCTGTGATTTAATATCAATTCATTCGTATATTTGGCGTAGACTCAAAAAGCGAATAAAGGGAATTACCTGTAGTTAAACACTGATCGTACACTCAGATAATTTTGCACAGAGCTACGAAATCGAAACCTCTGATCGAAACATACCCTCTGGAACTGAGAATTTTTCTCTCATGCAATGCACTCTTGTTTGCGTGTCTAGTAAGATGAGATTGAATTGAACCGCAGCTGCATTCCGAGAGAAGCACGCATTGGTTGTACTGCCGTGCTAAGGAAAAACGCCGTGTGAACATCCGAGAGTTGCCAAATTTCCTACGATAAATTTTTTATTTTTGAGGAAGGTTATGAATATTTTTCTTTTAAATTTTCAGAATCTCCAGGCGAAATTTCGAACAAAAGTATCGGAAAAATTGGGAGGAAAATATTCATAAGTTTACCAAAAAATTCTCATTTTATCAAAGGAAATTTGGCAACGCCTGAAGGTTCATACGGCGTTTTTCCTTAGCACATCAGTGTAGGTATTAGCTTCGCCGATATTCAATGGTTTCTAGTTATTTCCCTTCAATTGCAATTCGGGAATCTGTTGCTCCACACTGACTGCAGGAGTAGAAAAAACTCGAGCCCACTGACGCAAAGCACACAGGTAAAAAATTTCAGAAAGATGGCAAGGTTTGATTAAGTCGCTATAAGGTTACGACGCGACAGTTGTTGGTTCAGGAATTCAGCTACTAGCCCCCTTTTCTAATTGCAGCACTGAGATACGTACCGAGGGTTAGGTCGGACTACAATATCATCTGTCATGTGTATTTGAATTGGTCATCCTCAACATAATTTCAAGCGCAAAATCATCAAAAATCGTGTTTCTAGAGAATGGAGATGTTGCATGTGTGAGGAATTTGCGATTTGACTGTTGATTCGTATGTAAATTTTCGCAAGAAAGACGATGATGGTGCCACTGGTTTTCTCTGAAAGCAATTCCCAAGCTCAAAAAAAAGCTCTCATGTTGAGGCCAAAATGGAGGGGGTATCCCACGCTATCCTGAGAGTCCACCTCTACATCAAGACAAACTCTCCATGCAAAGATAGGGAGAAAATACTTTGACAGGGTTGCCACTTTACTTGGGGACTCTAAAACTGAAAGCAAGGCAACCCGCAACCCTGGCAATGTATTTGCTCCCTATCTTTGCATGGAGAGTTTGTCTTGATGTAGAGGGTGGCCTCTCAGGATAGCGTGGGATATCCCCTCCATTTTAGCCTCAACTCAAGAGCTTTTTGTGAGCTTGGGAGTTAATTTCAGAGAAAACCAGTGGCACCATCGTGTTTCTCACCAACTTTTACATAAGAATCAACAGTCAAATCGCAAATTCCTCACACATGCAACGCCTCCATTGTCATTGCTTTAGCATGAGAAATATCGACGGTGAAACTAAGAGACCATGTATCTCGTTTGCTGGACGAGCGGCTCTAAAAATTACGTATCGCAATGCTGAAATTCGTGCCCTGTTGCCTGGGCCAATTATTTGCCTTCAAATAGCCGGCTATGCAAAATGACTGTCGTGACGCACGGATAGTGGTATCAGAATTTTACATCAGGATTACGGAGTGGGTTGAAGGCGCTCTTTTGTATCCTATAGGCCCTGTACAATGATGTTGACCCAAGATATTCATAATATGGAGTCTTTAATCGAGCCGTAATTTTGAAAAATTCCTGGCGAATATGATTTTGATTATTAAATAATAAGATTTTGTTTAGTTCGTTAGTTTTATTTCAAAAAAGAGACGAACGATTGGCTCAGATTGTGGTTTTTAAGTCCTCTTGCTTACTCTCATCCACAACTGAGAGAGTCGCCGCTTACAAGATCCGACTTACTCAAAAGCGGTCGTGAATTCAATGAGTTTCGCACAGATAAAATAAGCTTTCGTCGACGAACTATGAAAGATCAGCATTGAAGAAAAGGCACCCCGTCTAACGATCCATTTGAAAGGCGTAGAGCGCGGATGGATGGAGCATGAATGTATTCCAGGTTTCTACGGACACTAGATGACTGCAGGTTCCTGACGGCATATCTGCCGAAGTTTAGGGGGAAAAATCGAAAAAAAGTATTACCTTTATAATTTTTTGAGGGTCCACGCAAAGACGATGTATTCTTGAGACTACGTACACTGAAAAAAAAGTTCGGTAACTTATGGGACCACGATTTTGTTCGGTACACAACCGAATTGTTCGGTCTGTTCAACCGAATTGTTCGGTTTGTGCGACCGAACCATAATACCATGAACCACAGTTCGGTTCAGAGAACCGAACAGTTCGGCTGAGCAGACCGAATAATTCGGTCGTGTGTACCGAACAAAATCGTGGTTCCATATTTACCGAACTTTTTTTTTTCAGTGCACTGTCTTCTTACCTATGGAGTAAAAGTTACTCGAGGAAGCCAATCCTCCGACTCATTTATTGGTGACTCACGGTTTTGGATCAACAAATGCTCCTAAACAAGTTTTAAGTATGAATAAACTCTATTTTTAACCTTAATGATCAAGAGCAGGTTCGAAACGCTAATAATTGCAGAAATGCGTACCTCGTGATCAAATGTCATTTTCCGATCATACAATGCTTGATCTGGCCTTATAAGATCAAACTAAATCTTATCTGATAAGGAATTGTGAGCGTGAAACTCTTTTTTCAGACTTTAAATTATCCAAATCCGCCGACAACAAGTTTAACACACTAATTGCAAAAGTGCGCATCTCGTGATGAAGTGCCAATTCTTAGGTCCAAAACGCGGATCTCGGCATTTCTACCGTATTTTCTAACAGTTCGAGAAATTATTCAAAATGCCGATGGAGTCTGAAAAAGCATCTTATTCTTGCTATCCTCAAGAATTACTACCATCCTCCTAACAATAAAGAGTAATGTAAGACAGTTTTTTTACTCTCCTGGAAAATCGTGTTTTCCGAGCTACGAATTTCCGACTTTCACCATCGATATGTGCTTTTTGACTGTTATAAGAGCTTATTATTTCTGTTGTTTGTAGGCCAGGAACAAGGAGCAGGAAAAAGAGGTTATCGAGTGGATTGAGGCTGTGATTGGGGAGAAACTTCCGAACCAGCCGTATGAAGACGTTCTTCGCGATGGGGTGGTTCTCTGCAACCTCATCAACAAAATCGCACCCGGTTCCGTTAAGAAAATTCAAACCAAAGGTACCAACTTCCAGCTCATGGAAAACATTCAGAGGTAGGGAAACTCTAATTTACATACATACATACATATAAGTTGCTTTACAGCACTCCCTCGCGCTCTACGACTCCTAACCTCCACTGCTCTCTTTCAAACCACAAATCTTGGGGGATTGACAGAGACAAGAGACCCTCCACTGGCCTCTTGGCGACAGGTAAAAGCTTTTACTTTCGGGGATTCAACAGTTCCTTATGGACAATTATAAGGGAGCAACAGTCATCACCCTAATTTCGGCTGTTGACCTACCAACATGGTCGATGATGAGCTTCGGGTGACGTCATGAGCCAAACAAGTTTCCTAAACTTCGGCCATTTTTGGCTTGTTCTTGAAACGAAACTGCCAACACGTTGTTAAACATCAACCATGTAGGTAAGTCAACAGTAGAATGCTGAAGTCCCGAAAGTAAAAGCTTCCACCATGGCCAAGATACTAGTGGAGGGTCTCTTGTCTCTGGGGATTGAGCACCTTAACATTTCCGCTTCAATCCCTTCCCTCCAACCTTTCATTGGGCGCCCTCTGCGTCTTCTCCCAGGAGGAACCCAGTCAAGGACCTTCTTCGGCAACCTGTCTCCTGCCATTCTCTGGACATGACCATACCAAATGAGTTGTTTTGTCAGAATGTCATGCACGATGGTCTGCTTGGCATCCATGATATCCCGTACCGTCTCATTCCTGACGCGATCCTTTCTGGAAATACCAGCGGATCTACGCCAGAAGTCCATCTCTGTTGCCTCTAAAACCTCCCGGGTCCGCTGTTCCATCGGCCATACTTCACACCCGTAGGTTACTATGCTCTTGACAATCGCGTTGTAGATCCTTCTTTTGTTCTCTTTGGAGATCCTTTGGTCCCAAAGGACTCCATTTAACATAGCGATTGCCCTCCTACCCAGCACTCTAAACTCTACTCAAACTCTAATTTATCGGACAGAAATAAATCTACTCAGAGAGAAATTTCAACACAAAAGTTTGGTTGATACGGGAAGTATCACACATAATAACTAAACTGCCGCGCTACGTAAAAACGCCGTATGAGCATTCCAGAGTTACCGAATTTTCTCTCAAAAAATATTTAGTTTTGAGGAAAGTTGCGGGTATTTTTCCTTGCAATTTTTATACTTTTTAGATCAAAATACGAATGAAATCTTCCAAAAATTCGGAAGAGAAATATTCGAGAGTCGGACTGGCCATAAGGCCAATGGCTGATACGCTCCCCTGACGCATCGAAGACGTGTCCCCTCTGCCAGATATAGCAAAATAAGATGAGAGAAAAAAGCGGGATCTTCATAAATGAACGATAGAAGAGAAAGTGAGAGTTAAGTCCCCAGAGGCAACTGGGAGTAGAAAAATGCTGGAAAATTAAAGTTATGTTTTTTTTTTTTTTTTTTTTTTTTTTTTTTTTTTTTTTTTTTTTTTNTGCTGAATTCAGATTTCGTATCCGTAGCTCAATATTTTGAAGAAGAGGGGAATGTGAAAAATCGGGACGTAATCGTTTAATCAAGCTGTATTGAATGACAATTATGTCACTCATTAGCAGACATCCGATTAAATAAAGTGCGAACTTAGGCTATTGCACTTTACGCTTTTAGCTTTCGCTATTACGCGAAAAATTGATCATTCTCCGTCGTGAAATTGGCTTTGAGGTATTGAAAAGTTTTGTCGGTTATAGTTTTCGAAAAGGGGATGATGGTCATTGAGTGAGGAAATCAAAATAGTTCTCGAACTTTTGTCAAGTGTCAAAATACCTATTACCTTTACATAAAATTTCTAAGGTCGGTAAAAAATTCGGTTCTTCGAAATTTACACCTTTTTGGTAGAGACGCTTTATCACCCCCCCCCCTTCCTCATCCGTCATGTGCCACTCTCTCAGAAGAGGTAGCACAGTCAGTTTTTAGACGTGCGCCTTATTTATCGCTTGACAGACCTCTAACATTTTTTTTCTTTTCAAAATGATAATTGATTAGGGCACATCCTATTTTTGGCTGTGTTGCTCACGGATCCCTTGAAGCACTACTACAAATGATACAAACGAAACTAACACAATATGGAAAAAGATCAAATGGAAAGACGGCGCAGAGATACAACCATTCGTACTTGATGGATGTCTGTGTTGCATCCGCAAAATTGAAGGCGCGATGGCGCGAGCTGTGAATTCGCGATGTTCCACAGATCCGCTTTATGCTGCCAATAAGGTGTCGTGAGAAAAGTTAAGAAACGAGGTTCGATTATTACGGCTTTCCTATTTACGGCTGTGTTGCTCATACAGCCTTTAAAGCATCGCTACAAATACAACGAAGACAAACTGAAACGAACACAGAATGGGAATAGAGTAGATTAAAAGCAGGCGGGTTGATGACGGCGCAGAGATACAACTGTTCGTACATGATGGATGTCCGTGTTGCATCTGCCAAATTGAAGGCGCGACGGCGCTAGGCGTGAACTCGCGATGCGCCGTTCCATGCTGCCAGTGAGGTGTCGCTCGGATAGGAGAGAAAAATTTAAAATACTAGGCCTGATTACGTCTCGACTCAGTTGTTCCTCAATTTATTCTTCTTTTTTCAATTTGAAGTTTGATTAATATTTTATTGTACAAATATTGAGGGACCTACATCTACAGCTCGTATGTACCGCGGTCCCTCACAACTCGACCCTCCGACCCTGAAAGTAACCACTCATTTCAACCGATGGGATCGCTCCATATACTCTCTAAGTCTTCTCTGTCTATCGCTTTGCTATCACTTTCAACAATTAACTGGCTAAAATTCTCTGGTTACTCGGCAACAGAACTAGAAACTCAGAGACCGAGTAAATACTTGAGTACTGACATAAATTACAAAAAATGGGTCATGCGGAGACAAAATGTGAAAATGTTGTCGCGGATGAACTCGGACGTGACAACCGCACCGAAGCAACGACTTACGTAATTTTTCGGCGGAAAAGAATTAAAAAATGGAGCACGCAATAAAGAGATCCACTTCTTCCGCGACCCCACCCCACCTCACCCTTCATTCCTCCCCCGTCATTTGCACTTTCCACAGACGTGCCTGTAGAGTTGCCAATTTTCCCGCGGATACGCGAGAAATACTAGTTCGCTAAACCTAGAGTCCCTTTATACTGAGAGTCAAGACAATTCGGCTCATGGATGTCACAAACGGGAATAAAGATTACAGAAATGGAACGTTTTTCGTAATCTTTGATCGGCCCATTCTCAAATGCCTTTCTCCGTTCCTCCTCTCATTCCGTTTGTTCCTTGCCGAACCCGTAATTCCCTGGTCCATT